CAAGCAGGCGGATGACCTGAGCTTGTTCCCCAGATCCCACGGTAAAAGCAGAAAATCAGCTCTCTAAAGTTGCCTTCCGACCTCCACGTGCTCCCTGTGGCATACACTCCCATACTCTTACACACATGCTTCATTTTTTATTAAAATTATTTTATGTGTATGAGTGTTTTGCTCATGTATGCCTGGACTTGCTTGGTGCCCATGGAGGCCAGAAGAGGGCATTACATTAGATCTCCTGGAACTGACATTACAGATGGCTTTGAAACATCATATGGGTGCTGAGGATCAAATCTGGGTCTTCTGGAAGAGCAGGCAGTGCTCTTAACTACTGAACCATCTTTCTAGTCCCTCAGGTACACAAAGGAAGGAAGGGAGGGAGGGAGGGAGAAAGGAAACAAGCCTGAGTGTGGTGGTGGCATACACCTTTAATCCCAGTACTCAGGAGGCAGAAGCAGGTGGATCTCTGTGAGTTTGAGGCCAGCCTGGGTTACAAAGCGAGTTCCAGGACAGCCAAAGCTACACAGTGAGACCCTGTCTAAAAAGACAGAACCAAAAATGCCCAAACCAAAACAACAAAAAAGGGTGAGGTTTGCTGTTGTTGCTGTGATATGTATTGGTGCTTTTTGCTCTGCAGGGCAGCGTTAGAGTTCAGTCAGCCATATCTTCTGGAGCAACAGTTTATCAAACTCCAGTTAGGTAAAGAGCATAATTCTGTATGTGGTGTTTGCTGTGCTGATAGTGCCCATGCAGCAACAACTTTATCCATCTCCCCTGGTGAGACAAGGATGGCTCCTTTAGGGCTGTGCTTCTCCTGTGTACGGCTTCAGAAAGAACATTCAAGGGAGCTTGGTTTGAGCATGGCGAGACTCCACTTTCTTTTATTCCTCTGATACTGTGTGTGTGTGTGTGTGTGTGTGTGTGTGTGTGTGTGTGTGTGATTGTGTGTTCCCATGACCACATCTGCACGTATATGGATGTCAGAGGACAACCTAGAGGAGTCGCTCTTCTCCTTCCACTACGTGGGGCCCAGGGATTGGAACTCAGGTCGTCAGGTTTTGTGACGTGTGCCTTTATCTTATGAGCCAACCTGCCTGCTCCTAGGTGAGGCTTTTAGAACCAGTCGGTTTTCCAGGCTTGTTTTCAATTCAGATTTTTAAAATCTGAAATTAGGGAAGATGACAGACCCTCTTGCAATTGAAAAAGAGTTGTGGGAATTTTGTTTGATATAATGCCTTCTATGGTCCCGGGCCCTGAAATAAGAATTGTGACAGTTAGATTTGCTGCTGTTTGTATGGCTTTTCTGGTCTCATGATAAAGGGTTCAGTGTGAAGCCAGAAGTTCCAGGTCACTCGAGAGTTGTGCTTCCTGCATGAAGAGCAGCCAGCCCTCTTCCTCTTTCCTGCAGCCTCCCTCTGAGTCGCTGCACTCCTGCTATTTCCCATAGCCACACAGTCTGCTCCAGGTGAGGCGGCAAGGGACCAGGGAGCCTCCAGAGGCATTATAGTTTTTAAAAGTTGTGTAGCTCAAATTAATCAGAATTTTGTCTGTAAATGGTATTGCTGTCCCTTTTTTTTAAATATTTATTTATTATATATATAATATTCTGTCTGTGTGTATGCCTACAGGCCAGAAGAGGGCACCAGACCCCATTACAGATGGTTGTGAGCCACCATATGGTTGCTGGGAATTGAACTCAGGACCTTTGAAAGAGCAGACGATGCTCTTACCCTCTGAGCCGTCTCTCCAGCCCCTGTCCCCTTTCTCTTTAAAGATGTTAAATGAAAAAATATCATGTAGCCAGGTGTGGTAGCACATGCCATAATCTCAGTTCTCAGGAGAGGAAGACCAGAGGATGGTTAGTGTGCTGGCTAGTTTTTTGTCGACTCGACACAAGCTAAAGACATTTGGGAAGAAGGACTCTCAGTTGAGAAAGTACCTCCATAAGACTGACCTTTGGGCAAGTCTGTCAGGCATTTTCTTAATTATGATTGATGTGTGGGGGAACAACCTTTGTAGGGGGTGCCACCGCTGGGCAGATGGTTGGGGTTATAAAAGAAAGTTGTATGACAAAGCAGGCTATTGGGCGGTGGCGCACACCTTTAATCTCAGCACTTGGGAGGAGGCAGACACAGGCGGATCTCTGTGTGTTTGAAGTTAGCCTGGTCTACAAGAGCTGGTTCCTGGACAGGCTCCAAAGCTACAGAGAAACCATGTCTCAAAAAAACAAAAACAAAAAACACAAACAAACAAAAACCAAAAGGAAAGCAGGCTGAGCAAGCCATAAGGAGCAAGCCATAAGGAACACCCTTCACTTTCTTATGCTTCAGCTTCTGTCTCCAGCTTCCCGCCCTGCCCTGTCTTGAGATCCCACCCTGACTTGCTTTATGATGCACTGTTACCTAGAAGTGTGGTGCAGTAAGCCCTTTCCTCCCCTGAGCTGCCTTTGCTCAGTGCTGTCCCAGCGGTAGAAAAGTACCTGAGGTGGTGAGTGTGAGGCCAGCTTGTTACCCGGCTAGCGTGCCCCAAAATCAGAATAAGACACCACGCAGAACCTTGTTGCTTCATTTTTGCTGCCAGCCATGCTTCTCGGTGGCCAAGGCCAGGAGTCATTTCTCAGTCTCACTGAGTAGCTCCTGGAATAGCACCTGCCCCACTCCTTACAAACGCTGATTGAGTGGATAGGAAGACCTCTTTGCTTGTGCACTGGAGAACTGACTACAATTCTGGGTGTTGATCATTTGCTCTCCTCTTGGGAGACATTGCACCACCATCTTCACAAGCTCTCCAGGAACGAGTGTTGTAATATGAATGGTGGGGCTGCATCCCCAGCATCCCGGCCGCCTGCTAGCTTATGCCCCAAAATAGCAACACACAAACTATTCTTTTAAACACTGCTTGGCCCATTAGCTCTAGCCCCTTCTCGGCTAACTCTCGCACCTGGACTAGCCCATTTCTAATAATATGTGCATAGCACCCCAAGGTGCGCTTACCGGGAAGATTCTAGCCTACATCCATCCTGGGTCGGAGCTGAATCGCGTCTGCCTCAGAGAGCAGAGCTATCGCATCTGCCCAGGAGAGGGGAGCATGGCGTCTCTGAGCTCACTTCCTCTTCCTCCCAGCATTCTGTTCTGTTTACTCCTCCCATCTATGTTTAAACCTATCAGGGCCAAGCAGTTTCTTTATTGCTTAACCAATGAAATCAACAGATTGATATATGATACTCCCATATCAAACGAGTAGCTTCAATTCTGTTCCAGCTTCTTGTGTTGTCACTTTTAAACAAATGAAGTGTGTGGAGATGCTGGAGGTTCACTCCCCGATGGAAGGGACGGGTTTTCAGTAGCAACCCCCTTCCTGCTGCAGAGAGGAAAGACAGAAAAGATGGCTAGCTTCTTTTTTTTCTTTCTGGGCCTTTTTTCTTTTCCCTCTGTAATGTTGGTCTTCATAGGTTTTTGTTTTTGTTATGGAAATAGGGTCTAGACATGAACTCCAGCCTCCTGCCTCAGTCTCTGGTATTACAAGTATGTTTTCCCCCTGCAAAAGTGATTTGGTTTATAGTATTCATACAAGACAAAAAAGGATGTAAGTATTATAAGTCTGATTCCTATACACACAGGGTAGGGATGAGGCCCTCCAATACTGGTTTTGTTTTTTGAGACAGTTTTCTTAGAGTCTATGATGACCTTTCTGATCTGTATGCTTTCATCTCTGAGTGCTGGGGTTTCAGTGTACACCTCCACTTGGGGCCGATGCAGTCCTGGTACCAATCCCAGCGTTTTCTTTGTTCAGCACTCCCAGCTCCATGCCTGGGCTTTAAAAAAATGTCTTAGTGTTTTGTTTGTTTTTCATTTATTCATTTTCTGCTTCAGGCTCTAATTTCTGAGGCTATTTCCTCAATTCTAATCTCCCAGTTGGTTTATTATTTATGTTAAATTCAATTGGAAGTTCTGCTGTGTAGTCTGTCATCTCTTTGTCGTGTCCTCCCCCTCCCCCCCGCCCCCGTTTGTTTTGAGATAGGGTTCACTATGTAGTTATTGCTGGCCTGGAACTTGCTATATAGAACAGGCTGGCCTCAAAACTCATAGAAATCTGCTTGCCTCTGTTTCCCCAGTGCTGGGATTAAAGGCGTATGCCACCACAGTTGGCTCTATTTATATTTTATTTTAATTAAGGAGTTTTGAGATTGGCCCTGACTCTGTTGCCCTCTCTAGCTCAGAACTCCCCGTCTTCCTGCCTCAGCCTCCTGAGTGTTGGGATTTCAGGCTATGCTACTGCCATTCACAGCTGAGCTCTCAGCTGCACTTTTAGCAGTCATTTACCTTTAATGTTACTTATTATTTTGAAGAAATATCTTTGTGTGTATCTGTGTGCGCACATGTGTGATTTCAGGTGTGTCTGAGGGTTGTTGGGTGTCCTCTTCCATTATTCTCTGTCTGTTCCTTTAAGGCAGGGTCTATCCTGAACCTAGGGTTGGGTTTTCTCTACTAGGCTGGGAACAGCAAACCCCTATCTTCATTCTCCGAAGCAGGGCTACAAGTGTTTGTAAGGACACTGGCTTGTTATGTGGGTTCTGGAATCCTAACCGTGGTCCTTGATTGTGCAGCAAGTGCTCTCGACCACTGAGCTGTCCATCCAGCCACTGTTGGCTCACTAGCTGACTCGCTTGCTTATTATTTGTTTTAAGACAGGTCTCACTGTGGGGTTTGAATTAGTCATCCTCCTGCCTCAGCCTCCAAAGTGCTGGGATCCCAGGTGTATGCCACCATGTCCGGGTCCGCCATTTTCACAATGGTTTTTTTTTTTTTCTTTCTTGGCGGCCTTTGAGAGCTTGGTTTTAGGGTTGGGATTGCAATGAAAAGTTTAATGTGACATTCAGAAGTGATTACTGTGAAGAAATTATCAGATGGAATACGAATTTGACCTGCCAGTTCACTCTGTTTTAATAGCCCAAGAGGCAGCATGGGTTGTAACAATGGATTCTTTGGATTTTGTTTGTGTAGAAGAAACAGAGGAAGAAACGGAGATGACGGTTGAGGCTGACTTGACTGAGAAGCAGAAGCATCAGCTGAAACATAGGGAGCTCTTTCTGTCCCGCCAGTATGAATCTCTTCCTGCAACACATATCAGGTGAGACCTTTAGAAGTTTCCCTAACTTCCCTAAGTGCCCAGAAACACTGTGACCAAAGCCCAGACCAAAGCCTTCTTGAAAGCCCTTCAAAAACTCTCTTCAAGATCTTGCTCAGCTTGGCATCTTGCAGACTTCATGGGTATGATCTTGGAGTTTATGGTGTGCATTAACATACAGAGGTCCTGGCAGGTTCCACAGTGACAAGGCATCTTCTTGTTGCCTCATCACTAACAGTTTATCTGAGCGTGTTAGCATCACACACAGCAGTGTCTAGCAGATACTCTTTGGCAAGTGCTTCTTCAGATCCCTGCAAATGATACAACGAGAATACAAGGCCAGAACACAAGAACACAGGGTTTGGTTTGCAGACACACGACTCTAGCCCTCATAGGATGTATGGCTTTTTATTTTCTTGTGAGTATCGCTGGGATGAAAACCCAGTGCTGGCATCAGCTCTGTGCATCTGCTTGGTTTAAAACACTCTAACAGACGTGTTTTTGTTAGAAATTGAAGCCTCACTTGTGCTAGGCAAATGCTCTGCAACTGAACTGGGCTCATGACCTTTGTCCTGGGCACTGGTGGGATCCAGTCCTTGCTTTATAATCTGGAGGACGCGAATAATTGTGAGATTATTTAATTTCAGATTTTATTAGTGTTTGTTTATTCTACATAATAATGGTTTTTGTTATGAAATTGTCATACATTATTTTTTACCTGTGCATATTTTTTTTGAGATAAGGTCTCTCTTTTTTTTTTTTTAATTATTTATTTATTATGTGTACAGCATTCCTTCCATGTGTGCACGCATGCCAGAAGGGGGCGCCAGATCTCATTATAGATGGCTGTGAGCCACCATGTGGTTGCTGGGAATTGAACTCAGGACTTCTGGAAGAGCAGTCAGTGCTCTTAACCACTGAGCCATCTCTCCAGCCCGAGATAAGGTCTCTTATAGCCCAAACTGGTCTTAAATTGCCAGGTAGCTGAGGCTGGCCTTCAACTCCTGATCTTCCTGCATTGACCCTTCAGGTAGTAGGGATTATAGGCATGCATCACTGTACCCAACTGACATTTTCTTAAAGATGTACATAACTAAAAAGTCATAGGCTGTGATTATTTAGCTGGAAGAAGCTAGGATATAAAGATGCATTTGAGCTCAAGAAGTTGTGGTCATAGATTCTTGTTAGATCTGACAAATGGTTTAAAGAATATATCCAAAACACAGAGTGTATTTTTAATTTACCCTTCTGATAGCTTGGAATCTGTTTACAAGTAATGTTGGTTTTCTTTAACAGATTGCTTGGAATGGAAAAATGGTGTTTTTCATCTTCCATAAGGCCTGAGAGAGTGTATTTTAATATAATTATCAAGACACTTATGCAAGGGCTTTACCTAGTGACGATGCTTTGAATTATGTCGAAGAGACATTTATGCCTTTTTCCTGTGTGTTTTCTGGGTTGAGAGAAAGGAGAGCGAAGTTGCGCTTTCTCCTCTATGGCTCCCATTTGCAAATGCTTGAAGGCAGTTGAAGCAGTCTCTAGCAAGACACAGAGCCTGGCTGTGCAGCCCACATGCTGATTTAGAACAAGGGCTAGGGAAAGTGGTCTTGACATTTTCCAGTGTTGAAGTCCTGCCCTATCTGCCTCTGCTTTAAAAGGAGAAAATTGCTGAAGCCCCATTGTTCTTTGGCAGCTATAGGGGCAATTTGGTGAATACTGACGTTTTGTTCTCAGAGACACCACCAAGTGCCCAGAATTTCCTCCCTCCTGAATGGAACGTGGGGGAAGCCTGACTGCGGTGCTCTCGAGCCCTCCGAGCAGGTGAACTTCAGTGCTCACTTGCTGTAAGCCTCCGTGTGTGGCTCAGAAGCAACACTTTGTTCCCTCTCACTCCAGCAGAAATGAGAAAGACCTGGGCTTGTTCTGAGCAGACTGGCATGGAGCATGAGCAGTGAGCATCCATCCAGTGCATTTTCAGGGGTGCAGGAGCAGGGCAGAGGCAGTACCCTTCACTCATCTGCTGTGGCTTGGGACTTTAATAAAAGATTTTATGGTGCACATAAAGCACAACGATTTATTGTCATGCCAACGGTATTGTTTATCTTGCTACATTAAGCCATTTTATGTGTGCATTTGAAGGTTTTCATACATGTAGCAAATACTGCATGCTCTTTCAGTGACCATCCTGTGATTGATGAGCAGTCCTTCATTCGTCTCTAAAAGACAGAAATGTTCTAAGTTTGAGGAAGGCAACACAGAGGGGGTGATGTGCCCATTGCTACTTGCCTCATTTTTAAGTGTAGCCCTCTTTCTGCTCTGTGGCACCGGGGCTCCTGTAATCAGTTTTACAAATGGCTTGGGTTTATATGTGCTTCGTGTTCTAACAGCTATTGGGCTTTTTATGGTAGGGCTGCTTTTCAAGTATTTAATCCTCACAGTGACTCTCTAAGTAAATCTGTTATTATCCCTGTTTACAGATGAGGGGGCCAAAAGCACAAAACAATTACGTTCTTGCCTAAATCTCCCACTTCATAAATTGCACGTTTAGATATTGTCTGACTCCGAACTGCAGATATTCAGCTTCACTAATGACTCATGCACAGCTAGCGCCAGAAAAACATCAGGCACAATGAGAGCTCTGAAGTCACCTGTTGAGTAGGTAGGCTTTCTGAATGTCAGCCTCACAGAATTCTTCTATAGATTCAAGTCAGTTGGGTAGATCTAAAATTAAAGCTATTTAAGCGTGTAAGTTGGATTATTATTCCAAAAGATAATGTTACAATGCTAGCTGCATGTAGAAACCAGGCAATAGCCCTCTTCCCCTGGTTTATGGTTGTGTCTGGCCTGAGCGTCCCCACATCTCAGATGCACGAAGCCGAGCCTTTCAACAGCTGTTAATTACAGCACTGGTACATGTAACGATGCCATCTCTTCCCAGCCTGTGCACAGCTAGTCATAATTAAAAAGAGCTAATTCTTTCCATCTCTACACCACAGTCTTTAAAATTAGGCTTCAGTGTGCCTTAAAAAACTTGCCTTAGGTGCTGGTGTTGTTGGTCCCAGTGTGTCCTCTAGTAACAGGTTTTGGATCTGAATATTTGTTCTCCAGGCATCTCTTGTTGCAAAGCATGAACAGTCATGGAGACATCTATATATCCGTGCTAGTGGACTTTGTCCTAGTTTAGGGACCTGTCTTCCTCATGTTTAGCTCTGGCTGTGCTGGGCGTCGTACTCATTGTTGTTGGTGGTGTCATCCCCTCATCTCCCCACCCCCAGTTCTGGGGTTGGATCCAGGGTCCTCTGTATCTTCAGTCCAACTGTGCTTTTTATTTTTATTATTTTAAAAAATAATTATTGAACTTTGTTTGCTTCAAGAAAGTTTTACTCTGTATCCTGTCAGTCCTGATCTAGGCTTCCCTAGTACTGGGATTACTGTTGTGACTACCACCTGCTTGCTATAACTATTATTATTAAAACTATACTATACATTTATTATAACTATTATTATTAAAACTATACTATACATTTATTTATTGATTGTGTGTCTGAGCCTGTGGGCATGTGCATGCTACAGTATATGTATGGAGGTGACTTGTGAAAGTTGGTCGCTTATTTTTCCATATAGGTCCTGCGCATCGAACTCAGGCTGGGATCAAGCTCAGGCTGTTCCCTTTAGCTAGTGGCAAATGCCTTTAGCTTCTGAGCCATATTGCTTTCTTAAAGGGGCCAGAGAAGCTATTTCAAACCTAAATTTGGTGACGGTAGTAGTAGAATAAGTTTTGAAGGCCCAGGTGTTCAGTCTGTGCTTCACAGGTAGCCTGAGACTCTTTGGAACAGTTGTCAGGTTAGTACACCAGAATCCAGACGACTCCATCCCCGTCACTGTCGCCATGCAGAAGAATGGCTAAACCACCATCTGTAGAATGCGTCTTTGTCTAAGGCTGCCATGTGGCGGCTCCAAATGAGGGTTGTCTGTCTTAATTCAGTTCTGAGAGTCTCTTGAACAACTGTTAAAATCTTGCACCTTATGTAAAATTTGCCTAAATAGTTCTGTTTAGACTCCGACTTAGGCTGCAAGATCTCAGAGGTCAGCGTCTTGGTATCTTTCTTCCCCTTTGGAGAGCTGTACACAAGGCCCTTCAGAATTAGAAACTTCCACAGAGCCTGCTTTAATTTTTATTTATTTTATTTTATTTTATTTTATTTTATTTTATTTTATTTTATTTTATTTTATTTGAGACAGGGTTTCTCTGTGTAACAGCCCTGGGTGGCCTGGAACCAGGCTGGCCTCAAATTTACAGAGATTCACCTGCTTTTGTCTCCCAGGTCCTGGGATTAAAGGCATGCACCACCAATGCCCAGCCTTAGTTTTATTCTTGGAAATAAAAGTTTATTAAGATAAATAAATAAATTCATAAAAGATAATCTCTTTTCATTTACAATTGACCTTACATAGAATTTGAGATTGAGAGCAATTGGAATTGAATTTTATTTAAATCTCACTAGAACTGGAATTAAAGATTGGGTGTGTGATAGACAGGCTGCTCAGGACGTTGGGGTGGGAATCAACTTGCTTGGAGTCAATGCCAAGCTTCTACATGGCCCACAAGGCAGAGGACTGGATGCGGGGGCGGGGGGGGGGTGTGCCTCTAGAGACTGCAGTCAAGCAAAATCACCTTGAGCATCTTTCAGCAACCATGATGGGAGAAATGAAAACGTGTCAGTCCAGTGAGAGGTCTCTTTGGGCGGGCTTACTGAAGCCTTTGTGTTTGTGAGGGTGAGGACACTGGTGTCAGGATGTGTCTAACTTTCTTCTTACAGACAGCCTTGCATAGCTTAGGCCACCCTAGAAGTACTGTGTAGTCCAGACTGACCTCAACTATGTGCCAGAGCAGGGCAATCCAAGTTAAGCAGGGAGCAGATAGGGTCTCTGAGCAGCATGGCCCACCTGCAGGGCTGTGAGTTGCTCCACCATTGCTCATGCCCCCCGAGTGCTGGGATTTA